GCGACTCCAAGTCTTCCAGCTCTTCGTGTCTGTCTCCAACCCAGATCAGACCATAGTCATTTAGAAACTGCTGTAAGAGGAAAGGACAAGTCAGCGTTGTAGACCAGAGCTAGAAACTAGACAGAGAAGCCTCGCAGTGCTTGGCTGCAACAGTGAGAAGCAAAAGTGGAGGTGAACAAGGTTTACCTCAGGGTTGGGAGGCTGCCAACTCATGGCAGTAGAAGTAGCAGCTCTACTAGAAGCAGGTAAAAGGGAGGAAGGATTAAACTATCTGTAGTGATACAGCAGTCTCCCAAGAGTCTAGTAGCTGTGTAGGTTGTTTCCACAGCCCTGGAAATCAAAATGATGAGGCTTGCAGCAGGCAAGTGTATAAAACCTGTAGTGTACAATATAATAATAACATACTACCCTGTAGTTCACACTCAGCTTGTTATTTTCTTTCAGAGGAGTGAAGAGAGAATTTGTAGTTATCATAGAGGCAGCTTGAAAAGAACCAGGCAGTCTGGGACTGCAACAATCTGAAACCGAAGGTGCAAATGGCTTGGAGCAAGTAAAGCAGGCATCTCACCTCCATCTCCCAGACCTGAGTCTGCAGCTGAAGGCACCTCCTTTCCAGATCCTCTGCTGTGGATGAGTCAGGAGCAGCTGAGAGGGAAGATCTGCTTTTACTGTGCATAGCCTTAAAGAAGAGCTACTGGTAGCCCACGTCACACAATGTGGAAGCCCCAGCAGTCTGCCTGCACCGTCAGTAAACTGTAAAACACTGCTGAAGTTTTATGCTATAGGAAGCTGATGTGAGTGGTGCTGTCCACTGCTGTACACTGAGAGCTGCTTGTCTTGGTCCTAAGAGACCTATTCAACAATCAGCAGGTGTCCACCAAAGCTTGATCTAGAAACCTAGGCTTCGTAGCTGGCACAATGTGTGATGAGGTACAAAACACAGTTGTGGTTTGACAGGCTTCTTTGTGTTCTCTGCTCAGGAAATAGAGATACAGCACAGCTTTACACCAACAAGGTATTTCAGCCATGACAGGAAACGTGTCTGGGATCAGCAGGAGAGTTATGGATTCCAAGGAATTGAGGAGCAGAAGAGCTTCAGTGACTCACTTAAAGCTGAGCTTATTTTAGCATTAAGTTGCCTTGCAAACGAGTGAGCCTGGACCTGTAGGTGCTGTTTGAGATTGCAAGTCAATTTTTGGTTTTGCTTAGCTATGAGTTGCTCTGTTTGTTGGTTTTTGTTTGTTTGTTTGTTTGTTTTTCCCAACCTATTTGAACTGTATGGTGTATATTGTTCTTTTTTTCTCTGGCCATCTTCAGGTTTGTGGTTATTCTGTGCTCATGGAAACTTATTAAGGCACGGAAAATAGGTCAGGAAATAATGTCTAGTGCTGCGCCAGAAAAGCAGAACAACTGAAGTGAGGATCTACCTTGGCAAACAGCACCGTGTGTGTAACTGATACCACCATGGAAGAGGCTCATAGGCTTTTGAGGCAGGGATGGCTGAGAAGGAAGGTCTCCAAGCCTGCTCTGCAGCAGTACCAGGAGACCTGTAACTCTCCCGTGGGTAAGAGCAAGGTACCAAGGGTCCAACAATTTTTACCTTCTCCTTTCTGAAGAGTCTTCATCTTCTCCTCAAGCTCCGCAATCTTCCTGTCCTTCAAGATCAGAATGAATAATGACCTTGTTAAGATCCTCTGCTTTCAGGACCTTGATGCAGTTTGCATAATTAGTCCTGGCTGGGTGAGGCAGTGCTGCACATGCTCTCTCTCAGAGAGGAAAAATAAGGGTCAAAATGGCCTCACAAATGTCTTAATTTGTGACTCAGCAGAGGGGTGGGATGTAATACTCTGCTCCAATATTAGACTGGGGACATTGCTAACCTGTCTCCCCCTTCCATCTGCACAAGAATGCAGCTCATACTTAGGCCTGTTAGTGGCTGATCTAGAAAGCAGACCAGCATTTCTGTCACCATTGGTTAGAAAAGAAGACAAAACCACCAAAAAAAAAAACAAAAAACAACCTATTGCTATTTATTCTAAACTAAACAGTATTTATTCTCAACAGTATTACAAAAAGACCTGTTCTAAGATTACTTTTCTTGTCTAGACCACTGGTTGCTTTGTTTTGTTTTCAGAATGCAAAAGAAAGAAGAGTCTGAAGCCAAATAGATAGTAGTGAAAGGATGCTGAGAGTCATTACTTTGTAAAGTCACAGGATCAGAGCAGTAAGGGCTGTCCAGTCTTCCATGTCAAGGGCAGATATGACTGCTCTGCTGTTTTACAAAGGCTAACCTGTCTAATTAACAGAGTAGGCTATGGATTAACTTGTTGTAGCCCAGACTGTGTCTAAGTGAGTGTATCATTACCCTGGCTTGAAAAAGTAAATCAGGACACTGAACAGGCCTGGTAAGGGCCAGAACTTTTACCTTCAGTTGGATTTCTTGCGCTTGTTTATCTATTTTTTGTTCCAACAGACTGATTTTTTGCATCATGGATAACATGAGCTCCATGTCAGTGGGAATTGTACCTGAAAGCACAAATGCAACGTTACCTCTAGAAAGGCAATTCATATTGGAGGCTTATCTGCACCACACATGAGCTCTGGTTCTGCCAAAGCAGGTGAAAAAAGGATACCTTTGGCGGGTGTGGGGTGGAAATCCCTCAGCTCTTATCTTTGAGAGCTCTTGGTAGGGAGGTAGCTATGTCAATGGCAGCATGCTGTGTGTGTGAGGGGGAGACAACACAAAATAGCCCTCGCCTGGGGTACTGAGTCCACCAGACTGTCACTGAGAGACTATGATGGTCAAGAACCCCCTTATCTTTGAGGGACTTCACCCTGTGAAGTGGTGAACTAGATGATCTTTAAGGTCTCTTCCAACCTAAGCCATTCTGTGATGTCATATATTCTTTTTTAGTGTTGTCCCTGCAAGGGAAGGCTGCCATAGGGACAGGCTGTGTCACCTGTGAGGAGGCACAAAATGTATGAAAGGTTAGTATTTTGCATATGACTTCTCCAAAAACAGGTAAAGAAACATAGGTGTTACACTGAAAGTGAACTCCACTGAAAGTGGAGTGGCCCCAGGCTATTCACTCCCAGGAGCACTGTCAAAATCAGTGGGTGAGAGCATTTGTTACTGCACAGAACCAAAAGGATCTCAGTTCGCTCAGAGCGAACACAAAATGGGGCTGGCAGAAAGAGGCTGTGACGCTGGTACAGAACATCCTGTGCCACACAGAGAGGCAGGAAGTACCACAGAGCTGCCTTAATGAAAAGTATAACATCTGGGAGTAGCACAAACAGGAAACTTCACTGACAGCAGAGGAGCAGCTTTTGTGCTGTTTATCTAACAGGCCAGCTACGACCTAAAGTGAAACTGTGAAATGAAATGAAGCTCTAATGTGCTCCACGGGTTGCCGAGGATGTCGAAACCCTCCACCACTTATCTGATGGTGGGCGTGTAGGAAGAAGAGCTGCGCCCACCACGAGAGGTGTGGATGGTGAGCACTGCCTTGCCAGCAAACAGCTCAGCTGGGCCCTGCTGTGACGAGTGGTGAGGAGGGAATATATAAAAAACGAGGATAGGTTTGTTAGCTTTGTGGGGGGAGGGATTGCTTGATGAGCAAGTTTCCCAAAACGCAAAGGAAGAGGCTGTCCCGAAGGGCCCAAACTCTGCATTCCTCACCGGCCCACACTGCGCGCCTTTGGGCAGGGCGTTCCTGCACCTCTCAGTCAGCGCAGCGCAGAAATTACCACGAATGCTCCCGCAGGCATCCTGAGGGCCCCCCACCACAACGGGACTTGAAACAAAGGCCAGAAGCGACCCCGGCCTCTCGGCGTTGGCTCCGCGGGGAGGCCTGAGGTAGGCCGGCCGTCCCGCAGCACTCACCCCGCTCTCAGCGCCCGCACCGCCATCTTGTTTACCCGCGGTTGTCACGGCGACGCCTGGACGCTGTGATTGGCTGAGCCGCGGTCACGTGGAGGGGGGCGGACGGGCGAGGATTGCAAGTCCCGGCGTGCACCGCGGCAGAGGGGGCGCATCGCTTTGCACCTATTAAAAGGTGACCGTAATGAAGTGGGAGTGAACTCAGGGGACCTCCACAAAATGGGAGATAAGAGAGTGGACGAGAAATAACCATGGGACACCGTGCCACCTTAACAAATAATTCCAGCGCTGCTCAGGACAGAAATATCACAAATGGGAACAAATATTTTCTTATGTGTACCATAAGGAAACATATGAAGAAAACAAGAAGGAAAGTTGGAATTTATCTATTAGGCATTCATTGGCTGCCAGAGAAAGCTGCAAGGCCGCAATTTGGCTGGTTGAGAAATAGCAGTCTTTCAGTTGTGTACTCAGGCAAAATGGCTATTGGAATTTCTGCATTCCAGATTTTTTGGGGGTGAGATAGGAGATGCAATGCCAAGAGCATTCAATGTGCTGCACTCTGAGCTGCCAGCCCCTGCGCAGGGCTCACTGTGATGCACTCACAGAAATGAAAGCCACAGCAACAGGTGTAGCTTTGCTCGTTTCAACCTGTCCTAAAATAGCCCGTTCTGTTTTCTGCTGTTTGCTGGCAGGTGGGTGGTGCAGCTCAGCGATGTGCTGCAAACGCTGTTAGGGCTGAAGGGAGCCCTGCCACCGTCTGTGATGTGGATCAGACCACCCTGCCACACTTGTGTCTTGGGCCTAGCTCCTGTCCTTCACTGCGGGGCAGGAGGTTCATTACACGGCGCAGTGTTTGCAGACCCTCCTGCTGAAGCAGAGGGTTTGAACCTGTAATTGGTGCTGGCCCTACAAAGGCATGGGGCACAATGTAGGGAGTGCTATATGGTGTTGGAAATGGGAGGGCAAGGGGCTCACTGCCTTTGCTGGAGATGGTGGCTGGGATGTCCTGTTCAGAGCATCATCCCCACCTGCACATCCCTGCAGCATCAGCAGCGCCAGTAATGGCTTCCTGGCGCTTTTCCATGGATCCGATTATGGTGTCCCTTCTGCGTGATGGGTTGTGCTCTGCAGAAGCAGCATGAGGAAGGAAAGTGTGATTGGTGAGATGGGGCCACGGCTGCACTTTAAAAGCTCTGATAGCAATCACTGTGAGCAGATGAGGAAGCATTGCAGCAAGCTGTACACTGAGCTTGGACCATGCAGCCTCTCCAGTGTGGCCACCTGCTCCTCCTGATTGCCCTGCTTGCCCTCTGCTTGGTAAGAGAAAGCCCACTGCTCGGGCACCCCAAAAGTTGGGGAGCAGCCAGACCCATCCCTGGGGTGTAAGAGTAGTTAGGGGTCTGGGATCCAACCGGTGGGGGAATTCTGCCTTCAGCTGGGAGCCACAGCAATTTATTTTAACCATGCTTGTTGTAAAAGGAGCTTTGCACTGCAGGCTACAAAGTTTAAATACTTCTGTATGTTGCTTTTTGTTTGAGGGTTTTTTTTTTTTGCTTAAGAGCTTTACGCATATCCATAACCTTATCATCTCTCAGCTCTCCCCCCCATTGTGTAGCTTCTCCTTTGCATGCTGGCCCCTTCCCTATCCCAGCTGCTGCCTGGTTCAGGGTTGCTGCGCATGGCTGTAGGGACGCTGGGCATAGCAACAGGGTTCCCTCCTTCCCTTCCCTTCCCCCTTTTTACTGCTGGGAGGCCCTTCAAGGGTTCCAGCACCATGCAGGCAGATAGCAGCTATCACTTGGGTGGGGACCTTTGCTTGGAAGTGGGCAAAGACCTCCAGGGAGGGTGATGCTCCTCAGAGCAGCTCTTGGGTTGATCTTATTCTTTTCTGCTGTATGTTGATAATGAGGCCGGATGAGCTGGCGTCACTCTCAAATGCCACACAGATGTGACACGTTGCAGGCTCCATGGGATGCATTTACATTTGAGCATCTCACCCTGTGACAACAAGCCTTGACAGCTAGAAAGAGTGCCTGCAAAATGAGGCCCATCCTAATCGTCCACTACAGCTCCAGAGGGAACCTGTGGGATCGAGGAGCAGTGAAACACAAAGCAAGTGGCTCTGCACAGCCATGGCGGGAGTGTTCAAGCAAGTGCCTTAATTTAGAAGGGGCTCTTTAGAGAGGGAAGGAAGCAGCCCTGAAATTTCCACCCCAGATGCATTACTAGTTCATGTAACAATTGCAGTGCCCCTCGCAACAGGAAGGTCTTGGCTCCCCTCCCCCTTGGTTCCACCAGGGACCTTCCCAGCTCTGTCTCTACACCCCACATCCTCCAGCACTGGCCTCGCAGGCTCCACATCCCCAGCCACTTCCTCAGAGGCCAGCCCCTCCCTTCTGCTTTCCTACTCGCTGTTTCTAAAAGCCTCGAAAAAGGGCGACGGCATGAGGGAGCGCCCGCTTTGCTTCCGGCATGGGAAAACCCGCAAGTCCTCAGCTCTCCTGGCGTGTGGGGCCTCAGGAGAGCGCACGGCACTGAGACACTACGAGACAGGAAATCCCGCCTCTCTGCCTGACTTTGCAGCCGTCGCCAACTGCCCTCTCTGCTTTTCCAGCCCTTAGGCCAGGCGGAGGACAACGGCACCATGACAGAGGGGATCGTAGCCCGGAGCCCGCCTTGCGGCAGCCCTGCTCTCCTGTCCCTGGCCCTGGGGCTGGCTGCGGCCTTCCTCCTGCGGCTCTGCTGAGCCGAAGGTCCCCGCAGTCCAGCGCTTCCCCGCTCCGCCGCCGGGCCCGGCCAGCTCCCGTCCCCGTGTCCCCACAGTGCTTCCCTATGGCCGCAGCCTCCAGGAGGATCAGCTCCAAGCACGGTCGTGCTGCGAAGCTCTGAGAAATAAAGTACGGAGGCTCCGACGCGTTTATTTCTCGTGCTGTTACGGGCCGGCACCGGGACGGGCTCCGTGAGGGGAACACCAAGCCCGCCCGCGCCTCCGGGGCGGCCGCAGCCGCGCCCCGATTGCCGGGCTGAAGCAGCACAAGGGCACAGCGCCCCCAGCAGGACGGGCGGACCCAAGGCACCGCCCTCCACCCAGCGCTAACCAATCACAGGCGGTCTTCGCCGAGCGGACCAATCACCGAATTCAAATCTCCCAGCTCTTCGCCAATCTGGAGCTGCAAATCGCCGGTCCTGGCCTATCCCGGCCCGGCGTGGTTTATATAAAGGCGGAATGAGTGCGGTGGTGTTGCGCTGCGGCGGGCTGCTGGTTGTGCAATGCAATGCAGTGCAGTGCAGTGCAGTGCAATGCAATGCAATGCGGTGCGGTGCGGTGCGGTGCAGCTGTGCGCCCGCTGCCGTTCGCCTCACACGAGGGGGCTGACCCGCACCGGCAGCGTCCCTGCCAGTGACGGACCACGCGTGGCGGCCACGCAGCGGCCGGGCACCCTCAGGCCTCGGCCAGGCCCTTCTCCCAGGTGATCGCCTCCCGGCCGCAGCTCTGCTCTGCTCGGCGCAGCGCTGTGTGTGCGCTCCGCCCCTCCCGCTGCTGCCTGCGGGGCGCTGTTGGGCTCCAGCCCTTGTGCTGCGATCTGTGTGGTTCTCTGACCTCCTTCCCCAGTGAGCCTCACGGCAGCTCGGCATGTTTCGCCATAATCACTGGTGTTTGGGTACGGCTGCTGCCGAGAGCCAGAGCAATCACTGGCAAGCTGGAGCTGCCTGATGTCAGGACTTAAGTGTACCCTGTCTGCAGGAGAGACCCGCAGGGAAGGCGTTGTGCTGCCTGTTGCCGCCAGAACAGCCCGGTTTTGCTGCAGGGTTGGTAACTGATTGCTTCCCACATGACGCGATGTCCCCAAGCTGGGTCCAAACCTGCTGAGCAAACCAGGAGTGCTGCTCTGCCCAGCAGCGAGGACAGAAGTGTCTGGGTGTGCAGACATCCCCCACCGTGTCTCCTCCAGCTCTGCATCGCGTTCCTGGGCAGCTCCGGCCCTGCTCTGAGCCCTACTTGGATGGAAGGCAGCTCTGTTCTGGAGACTGGAGAAGGAGCTGAGCTGCAGTGGGGATGTGCAGCGGGGCTCATGTTGGCGATGATTTTGGCAATCCCAAGCCTGCAGCAGAGCAGGGTGCTGATGTCAGCCCAAGACCATCACCATCCCCATGTGGGACTGAAACCATTATGTCCTGGAGCACCTAAATGCTTTCTGATTCCCACATGCTTTCATGTTTCTCCATGGCAGGGCTTTCCCTGGTTAAACACCCTCCATCTGAAGGGCATGAGTGCTCTGCTGTACCCATCCCTATGGTACAGCCCAGCCCAGTCTGGCAGTGCCAGGACACATCCACACGGCATCTCATCCTGCTGCAGTCAGGAACGAAGGACCCAGAGCCCCCTGCCCTTACAGCAGCATCCAGAGCCAGACACAGTGCCACCTCAGAAGTACAGCCTGTGCACCTTGCTTTTCAGAACCAAGGGTTCGGATGTTGCTCACAGCACTTGGACACCAGAAGGCACTGAGCTCCCGTCTGGGAAGCAGGATTGGGTCCTGTGCTTGAGGAGCACTGCACAGCTCAGCAAGGAGGACAAGGAGAGCAAAACCAGGTAGGGCTGGCCCCCTCGAGTGGGGCCGTATCTTACACACGTACATAAATACAGTTCATAGAGGGAAATGGGGTGGGGAAGAGGCTCTGCTGCGTTGCACTCAGTGCGTCCCACAGCAGTCAGCAGCACGTGTGTCCATGGTGCTCCAGGAGGGAGGTGGGCAATGGGGGTGGTCATGGCATCCTTCATGGCAGCTGCTCCCAGGCAGCGGGGCAGGAGGCAGCTCCCACCACTGCAGGGTGTTCCTGTCCTTCCCTGTTACACTTGCTGGCACCAGGGCCACATGCCCCCTGCTCATAGCACCTGTATCTCCCAGATCTGTGTGGGGCGTTCTTCAGCTACCTCCCAAATGATGGCATGGTCCCGGTCGTATGATCGGCCGCCTGCAAAGAGGAGAGTGGCCCCATCTGACACCTCATTTCCACGGGGTGCCTGGGACAGCAGCCCCTGTGCTGGCACCACAGCTTTACCTTTTACATCGAGAATCATATCCTCAAACATCTGGCTGTGAATCCGTCCCTGAGAATTGATGCTCCAGGTCTGACGTGGCATCCGGGTTTCGGACCACAGCACGGCCTTTGCTCCCTTCCCAGCTGGCCCAATGACCTGCAGGCTCATGGCAGGGGCAACCTGCAGTGGGAGGTGGTGGACACGTCAGCTCCATCCCCTCCATTGCCTCCACCTGGTGAGGCTCAGGGGCTTTGGGCTTGGAGGTTTCATGTCAAAAGCATCTGGTTCTGGGGTGGGACATGGGGAAGGCAGGAAAACAATGAGGGGCAGGCATGATCAAGGTGATAAAATCCTCTGGTGTGGCAGAAATGCATTCATGTCTCCAGAAGAGACCGGAAGAAGGGAGAATCAATGGGCTTTGGTGACGAGGCTGAGGTTATCCTGGGAAAAAAGCAGGTGGAAGCCCTAAAAGGTTTGTCTGGGGCATTCCCAGGTCCCCTCCATCTCCAATCTGCAGCCCTGACCTGGTTTTTCAGCAGCCCATCCTCGTAGTACCAGACAGAGCTGCTCTGCTCGCTCAGGCTGGAGACCACCACGCGCCCTGCTTTCATGTCCTCCACATCATCAGGGACAGACAGGTAGAGCTGCAGCTCCTTGCTCCTGATGCGGAAATAGATCCGTCTCTGGAAGGAGAGAAGCTCTTTTTGCTCAGGATCTCTGCAGCGGCCAAGAATCACGTTGTGCATGTCTCCACAGTGCCAGGGTGATGGCTGTGGCCCTGGTTCATCTCACAGCTGGCACAGCATGGCTCGCCATGCCATGCTGCCAAGACATTGTGCAAGGTGCTTGCCCGTGGGGAGCATTTCGCCACGACAAATTGCAGGGAGGAGCAGGGAGCGGAGGAAGGTTGGCGGCACTTTCATGGTTGAGCACTGCCAGCAGTGTGCTGCTTTCCCCAGCCCCATTGCACCAGGGCTGGTTTGGGGGCTCCCTGGGTGCTCACCTGGCGGATGGGGTAGAGGGACCCGACGTGCTGCAGCCCACTGTAGGTCAGCCAGTTGGTGATCTCAGTGCACTCCAGCAGCCACTGGCGGCCTCGGAAGTCACCGTGCTCACACAGCACCCAGCTGCAGAGATGGGCAGAGTGCGGTCAGCCTCAGTAGGCAAACAGACCCCAGCTGGGATGGGAACAGCAGGGCTGGGCTCACTTACATGCCGCCTTTGACACGCACTGACAGCACGTGGTTGTTGAAACCCTCTGCCTGGAGACTCCGCACTTCACTGTTTAACTCGATCTCCTTCCCCTCGAAACACTCCAGGCCATGCAGGAAGATGGAGGGCTCTGAGAAGAACTGCAGGAGGGGGCAAAGATGAAGGTGTAAAGGGGGAAAGCTGGGGGAAGCCAGCACCCATGTGTATGGATGGGCTCTGGGGCTGGAGAACAAATGCTGCAGGAAACAAGGAGGCTTCTGAGGGCTTCTGCCTCAGTGATGTTGGATGGACACTCACCACTGGGACCTTCTTCAAGGAGCGGATGGTGGTGGAGGAGAGGCAGCCCATGGCACCCAACGTGGGGTACTCACCCTCAGACAGCACATGCTGCTGCCCAGTGAAGGCCTGGCTGTCAAACAGGATCCAGCTGGCAAGGAGCAGAGGAGCATGTTTGAGCTGATGCAGCCATTGTGGGGGGTGAGTGTCTCCCAGGACTCCCCGTCCTATCCCCCACCATTGAGACCCCAGTGCCCTACCTGCCACCACGAACCCTGCAGGAGCGGGGCACAAAGCTGTCAGGCAGGGCACTCTGCTCGTCCTCAAAGGCAAGGTGCTCCCCCAGGAAGTCAGGCTCTGAGAAGAGCAGGATCTGGGGAGGGGCATGGAGAGGCTCAGCGAGGCAGGCAAAGCAGCACTGTCACTATCCCACAAAGAGTGGTGACACCAAGATCGGTGTGTCTCCCTCCCCACACACCACTCCATACCTTGGAGACGAAGTGCAGGTTGTGTTCCCTAACCTGCAAACAAACAGAGTGGGACTGGTTGCCAGCTCACCCAACCATGGGGCACCCATGGGTGTGCAGAGGGGGATCCAGGCTCTGGGGGTCCATGCACACCCACCTGCAGGATGGGCTGTGCCGAGGCAATGCGGCAGTTGGTGGCTCCCCAGTCCTCAAAGTTGCGATACACTCCCTTCTCTAGGATGTATTGCTCTCCCGAAAAGTTGGGGCCCTCGTAGGCCACCCACCTGCCAGGGGGATGCAAGCTCAGGCTCAGGCTTGGCCATCCCTATGTCCCTTCTGTCCCCGTGTCCCAGGTTCCATACTCACACACCACTCAGCACATGGATGGACTGTGTGACGGTGCCATAGCCAGCCAGCTGTGTATCGGGCAGTGCCTCACTCAGCTCCACGCTGGGACCCTCTTCAAAGTCCATGGCCTCGAAGAGCACCAGTGCTGGGTCAGAGAAATCCTGCAGGGACAAGCCCCGACCCTCAATTTGTTGTGGGGAAGGGATTGGAAAATGGCTGCTCTCTGTAATACATGACCTTATGGGACATGGGATGGTGGCACCCAATGCTCTCACCGTCCGTATGAGCCGTAAGGACATCAGCTCCTTGCCGTAGCCACCCCACTGCCGCCAGTCCTGGTACTCTCCTTCTTCCAACAGGTACTGGTGGCCACGGAAGCCCTCCTTCTCATAGCCGACCCAGCTGTGTGCAAGACACTGAGATCAGACAAGCACTGAGATCCCCACAGCTGAGCATCTCTGAGATGTGCCACCTCACTGCGTCCCGCAGCCTCCAAGCCCTCGTCTGTGGGTCACCCCACTGCTCACCAGCCACCCAGGACACGCATTGAGCCCACGGTGGGCAGCGGCAGTTCGGGCAGGCGCTTCAGGTCGTAGACATCCCGCCTGATGATGAAGCTGTGTCCCTGGAAGCCCCTGTCCTCATAGATCAGCACCTGCGGCTCGCCAGGACGCTCCACCACTGGGCAGCCCTGGGAAATGGAAGTAGAGGCAGAGCGATGTGCTCACACAGAATACGGCCCCAGTGCTCCAACAGCCATTGCTTACCAGCCTGATGGGATGCATGGAGCAGATGGATGGATCCTTCGCTCCCCAGGCCTTCAGGTTGGGGTACCTGCCTGGCTCCAGGACATAGGGGTCATCATCGAAGAAAGGCTTGGAGTAAACCAGCCACCTAGGGAGGAAATGCCCAAATGCTCGTTGGTGGCTAGGAGCGTCCCGTGCCAGCAGCACCCCACACCCTGTCCTGCTCACAGTCCCGAGTGCACAATGATGGAGGAAGCAGTGAGTGGCTGCCCCTGCACACGGGTATCCTCGGCCGAGTCGCTGAACTGCAGTCTGGCGCCTTCTCCGTTTTCCTCAGCAAACAGGCTGATCTCAGGCGTGCAGTAATCCTGGTGTGGGGAGAGCACAGAATGAAGGGTGGCTGAATTTGGGAGGGCTCCGCAGCCCATTTTCCAGCTGCTCACCTTCACCACCCTCTTGAAGGAGCCGATGCGGAAGGGCCGACTGCCATGTGATTCATCACTCTGCCCATACACTATCCAGGGGTTGTCAATCTCCACATCCCCCTCTGCCAGCACACACTTGCGCCCATGGAACCGTGGTTTTTCATACATCACCCACCTGCCATCAGGGAAATGCCCATTGCTATGCTTACCAGTCTCTGCCTAGTGGCAGGGTGCAGAACATGGCCATACAGAGCCTCCAGCAGCATCCCGTCACCCCAGTATTGGCTCATGGCCATAGCCATTGCCTGTGGCACAATGGTGACCACTGAACATGGGTTGTGACACAGCCTCCTCCCCAGCTGCCCCCAGCCTTGTCCCTGCATGGTCCCTACCCTCCACGGATGACCCTGATGGAGATTTTGTGTGACAGCTCCCAAGATGTAGCGTCGGGGACATCACCCCAGATCTCCCGTCTGTGCCCTGCAAAGCCGGCCTCAGAGAAGAGGATGATCTGGTTGGGGTGACAGCAGATTGCTCAGCACCGTGGCCCCAGGGCCAGCCCTGCCCAGCCCCGGCCCCATGCCCCATACCTTTCCGGGTCTGGCGTTTATCTTCACAGAGCCCTCCTTGTCATCCTGCTGTGCGCACCCGAGGACACATGAACAGCGCAGGACATCAGCCGCACCAGCCATTGCCTCAGCCCAACAGAGCAGCAGCCAAAGCCTCACGTCTACAGCCAGCAAATCCCTCCCACTGCCCCGAGCAGCCACACCTCAAGCATTCCTGCACCATCTGGAACAGCCTCTGCCCAGCCCCTGCCCTCTGTCACCCATCCCCACACCCTCCTATCCCCAGCCCTACACCTGCCCATCCCAGAACCTTCTCATTACCTACACTGGTAGCCTCATAGTGCTCATTCTGATACCTTCCCATCACCCATCCCAGAACCCTCCCGTCTCCAGCTCAACACCTTCCCATCCCAGTACCCTTTCTCACTGCCTATGCTGGTACCCTCCCATCACCCATCCCAGCACCATCCCATTGTACTGGCAGTTATGCAGCACAGCTTCCCCCAATACAATGCACCATCCATAGGCTGGAAGCAGGGGAAGATGCTCAGGGGATTCAGATCCCTATGTGCCCCAGCACCCTCAGGCACTGCTCCAGGGCTGCACTCACCGGGATGTCAGTGGGGTATGGGGCTCCGGCACTCTCTGGCTCTTCAGGAACAGAAGAGTTGTGGTCATGACTCAGTGCTTCCAGCTCAGTGCTGGGCTGGTCACCAGCACCTATACCATTGGAGACCCCATTGTGGGTGCTGGCGGAGGACACGAAGCGGCTGTAAAGCATGCTGTTGTCCAGGCGTGAGTAGGGCTTGGCCTCATCTGCTGCAGCTGCACGGTGCTCCAGGAAGTCAGAGAGCAGTGCCATCCCTTTGAGGACATTCCCTCGGAACAGAATACTGCGCTCACCCGTGGCCCTGCCCTGCATCGGCCCCCCCAGGAGCGAACCCAGTTCCCCATTGCCATTCTGAGCCTTCCTCAGTGCCTTCTCCCCAGGGCTCAGGTAGGGGTTCTCAATCTCCTCCTCCTCATCGTGGCTCTCAGTGCCCTCTGGGGGGGTCTCAGCTCGTTGTCCCCCCCCTCCCCATGCCAGCAGCTCCTGCAGGGCAACAGGCAGTGAGATGTGGGTGCGTGGGGCCACGCAGTCCTCATGGATGGGTGGCAGTGCTGTGCAGCGACCCAGTGCTGAGGGCCGGGGCTGGCGCGGAACCTTGGGTGCCTTCCGTATCTCTGAGGGCTCCATGTTGCGCAGCGTGTCCACGAAGATTTCCATGTCCACCACCAGCTCAGGATCCTCCTCAGATGCATCTGGGGGACTCTCTGATGGTGGAGCTGGGGACTCATGGGAGGGCTCCGGGATGCTCTCACTTTGGGGCTTTGAGATGCTCTTAGATTGAGGTTTGGGGACACTCTCAGGTTGAGGTTTTGGGGTGCTCTCAAGTTGGGGTTTTGGGTCACCCTCAGATTGAAGTTTTGGGGAACTCTCAGGTTGAGATTTCAGGGTGCTGTCAGATTGGGGTTTGGGGACACTCTCAGGTTGAGGTTTTGGGACACCCTCAGATTGAAGTTTTGGGGCACTCTCAGGTTGAGGCTTTGAGATACTCTCACTTTGCAGTTTTGGGACACCCTCAGGTTGAAGTTCTGGGACACCCTCAGGTTGAAGTTTTGGGACACTATCAAGTTGGCATTTGGGGACACTATCAGGTTGGGGTTTTGGGATGCTCTCAGGTTGAGGCTTTGGGACACTCTCAGGCTGGGGCTTTGCAGTGTTCTCAGGTTGGGGCTCTGCAGTGCTCTCCATAGGAGGCTCAGGGATGCTCTGGGTATCCTGGGCCACACCCTCATGATTCTTCACCATCTCACCCTCCTTCATTTCAACTTCTGTGTCTTTTGGAGATGCTCGTGCTCCATGTAACAGCTCAGGTCCATTGCTTGCTTCCTTGGAGATGTTTTTGGAGGTGCCACCAGTTTCCTCAGAGCTCTCTGTCCTGGGCTGTATGGCTGAAATAGAGCCATCCCTATGCACTGCACCTCCTTCTCTGGCTCCAGACTGATCTGTCAGAGGACACTGGGCACTGGTTGTACTGGTTCGCAGGTCCTGGGGTTTGTCTCTGCCTCTTGGCATTGCATCGAACATGGATTCATTTGGCTTTGGACATTTCTCCCTGGAGGATTCCCTGGTATCCAGGGTGTTCAGTGAGCTTTTGCCACGTGCTGTGATCTTGGTGATGCCACCACAATCCGGCTTACAGCCTCTCTGATGCGATGGGGGCACAGTGGTGGCTTTGCACCCTCCATTTTGGGTTTTCCTGCCCTCCTCCGCCTCCCTGCCCTCCCGCAGCACAGTGACATGCCTGGCCCTGGGCTTGGGGTCATGTGTTGAGCGCTGGCAGCGGGGCGCAGTGGGGAGCAGCACGCCGTGCATGTAGCTCTCACGGTGCACAGGGACATCTCTGGGCGCAGGCACTGTGTCATCCTCCCGCTTCTCCTCCCGCCGCCGTGGCGAGAAGACCTGTGAGAAAATGGGGCCGTGCGCTGCAAAGTCCTTCAGGATGCTGACAGAGGACGAACAGCTGCGCTGCGTCACCGCGCTCGGCCCCGACGCCGTCTTCTCCACGATCTCCCTCTCCCAGGCCTGCAGCAGCAGGGAGACGCGGGAGGGGCTGCCATCCCGGGCCCCCCCTCCTGCCATGTGCTCCAGCCGTCGTGACACCAGTGAGACTTTCTGGAACCGGGATCGGCTCTCGGGTCCGGGTGCTGCTGTTTGCTTCATGCTCAGCTCGGCACTGGAGACGAAGCCCTTCGCCTCACTGTGCTGGAACGGCAGATCCATGCAGGCCCTGCCACCACGCAGCAGGGCTGGTGGAGCTGCAGGGAGAGGCACCGGGATCCAGCTGAGCTGAGACCCCAAACCTTGAGCCCATCCCTTTGGACTTTGGTCCTCCCCTCCGTGGTCCCTTAGAACATTCTGGGGGTCTCGAGCACACAGGTGGTAACTTTGTGTTTCCTTAGAGCACCTCTTGGGATGCTCACCCATGCGTGACCTGGGGTACCACCATCCCTTCATTGCAATGAAATAAAATTCAATGCAATGCAACAACACAACGCTTCATGCAATGCAGTGACATGACACAACATGCAGCACAATGCAACGAAATGCAATACAACTGCATGAAATGTAAGAAATGCAATGATATGCAATGCAATGCATTGAAATGAAACGCAGTGCAACAAAATGCAATGCAATGCAATGTCTGCACGTCCCAGCGCTCTGCCAACCACCTGGGCAGGATCTGGCTGTGCTGTGCTCTGCCCCGAGCTGCAGGATGAGTCAGGAGGGCGCAGGACTGCACCGAGTCAGCAAAGACAGCAAACAAACAAGCCCAAAAAATAACAGGGAAGCAGCTCCATGAGGTGAAAGAGCCTCAGTGGGGCCATGCCACAGCACCCAGGGGTTTTGCTGGAGGCTGGGGCCAGCAGCATCTTCCCTTGATCATGGCAGTTATTGCTCAGCAAAGATGGGATTGCTCCATCCACATCTGAGGCCCCACTGGCACAAGAAAATGAGCTGCATTAATTACCCGCTGCTTGCACCCTGATCAGAGCAGGCACCCAGCACCCTGTGCCCGTGTCCCCATGCTGGGCAGTGCTGGATGCTGCCGGGGAGGACATGGGCACCCTGAGGCCGCGGCTGGCAGAGTGACGCCATGCAGGGCTGCGTGACTGCCCCAGAATGGTTTTATTGCTGTGTTTGGGAAATGGAAAGCAGCTGACGAAGCAGCTGTGGATGAATGAGCCGGAAGCGTGGCAGCATCTCAGCATCTCCCATTTAGGGGCTGTTTGGTGTCCCCAACCCAAACACCAGCTGTATGTGGGCTGCAGGGGCAGCGGGAGGGGCTGGGACTGGGATATGGCCCAAAGAGTGCTAAAATTCAGCACTTTCTTGGCTGGGATGGGGAAGGCCCTCCATGGGCTGATTCCTCATGGATGAGAAATGGATTTCTCCCATGCGGCCACTTCCCCCATCCCTGGGGTCAGCGCTGGATGCTTCCTGTTGTGGGGTTCACCCGGGGCTGGGTCCCTCTAAACCCCATCACATCTGCTCTGCCCTCCACCAGAATGTTTCACTGATGGCACGGGAACATTGGGTCCTGCCCGCCCGCCATGCACCCCAGCCTGGCAGGTCTTTCTGGTCTATATAGGAGGGGTTGGTGTCATTTTGCAGTAGGCTATAAGACCATGTCTAGGATAGTGAGCAGGGCTGGATGTAGGAAGAGCTCAGGCAGGGCCAGGCATCTGCATTAGCAAAGCTACATCTGGATCCACAGAGCCACAGCTGGATCCATAGGGCCACAGATGGCTCTGGCACCCAGTGGGTGCTGAGGGCACACCACCCCCATGCTCTGCAGCCCTGCCTGGCACCAGCACCCCAGATAGAGGCAGGTGAGGATGTGGCTGTCCCTGCACACCGGGACACGCTGCAATGAAACCCAGCTGTATTGTTGCAATGGGCACCTGGCACAGCAATTAATCACCTGTCCCACCCAAGCAAACCCGCTCAGCTAATTGTTGGCTCTTGCTATTCAGAAGGGTCCCTAAGTAGCCTGATCAGGGCTCCTGGAACCTGATTAAGATGCCTGCAATGTAACGAAGAGACCAAGGGCTGAGTGGCAGCAACCTGTGGCCAGCTTTGAGCTTGTGGCCATGGGGAAATCTGGCCTGCAGACACACTGGGATGTTCCCAATGTCTGCAGGTAAGAGCAGACCTGCTACCTCCAGGAAAATTGAGAATTTGGTTTGAGCGGCTGCTGCACAGATCAGGACTAATAATTAGGGCAGGGCAATTTCCATTTCCCCTTTTGTTACCGGTGCTTCCGCAGCCACATGCCCTGCAGAGAGGAGGGGATGTGGGTGGGCATGGACCCTGCTATCTGCTAGCTACAAGGCCACTGGGGCTGGGTGAGCACTTCTTTGTCCTCAATGGGTGTGAGGATGTGCTTTGGGTTGGGAATAGGGTTAAAAGCCTGAAGGAGTTGAAGCCGAGTGGCAGAAACGGGCTTTGCAACCCAACCCGTGCCGACATCAGCTCAGTGGGGACCAAACGGCAGCATCGGCACACGGATCTGAGCACAGCCCTGACTGGCAGCAGGTGCCCTACAGCTCCTGGCCCCCACAGCATCCACGGGCCCCAACCCACACCCCACGTACCTGCCGCCCGAGGGTCCCGCCGCGCCGGGTGGGCACTGCACTGACCGACCGCACCGAAGGCACTGCGCAGGGCTCGGGGTGCTGCTCCCTGCACCGGCACGCCGCGGCTGGGCGGACCGGCAGAGTCACCCGGCGAACACCCAGCCCTCGGTGAGCACCCAGCCCTGGCGAGCGGAGGTTTGGCATTCCTCAGGTGCTGACAGCCGGGGAGCCGGTCGAGCTGGTTCCCCAGCAACCCAGCTCCTCCATTTCCTGAGACTCAGCAGCGCCGGTCGGGGGACCGGCCCACCTGGGTTGATGAGGCCCCCAGAGCCCTGCCGGGCCACCTCGGTGGGACCTTTGTCCCATCCGCCGCCTCCTCCCACCACCGGGTCCGTCCCCAGTGATACCGGGTGTCCCGTGGCTGTGATCACAGCTGAATTCGTTGCCAGGACTCAAAGCACGTGGCACACAAAGGGACAGGGTGATCACGATGGTCATCCATCATCCCTGTGCCATAAACGCTCCGCTGCCCCCAGGGGGACAGAGCAGTGATCGCGGTGGCCCTGGGCCACCACGGGAGATATGGCCCGGGGTGTAGGCTGCACTGTCCTAGAAAAGCTCGGGCAACGGCACCGGCTCTGGCTCCTTGCCTTGCCTCGGCTCCCAGCCTCGTCCCGGGCCGCCGCCCCCGAGTCACCACTGGCTCAGTGCACACAGCCACCATCCTGGGGACGCTGGGGCACCCTGCACCTTGGCCAGTAGTTTCAGGGTGAGATCTGAGGAGCTCACAGTTCTGCTGTCCTCCACCCGCTGACACTTTGCCGGTTCGAGTTGGACTCTGTCCTGCTTATCCCCATTGCAGGGTTGTGAAACCCCTGGGAAAGCCACACTGTGGGGTCTGGGATGGGGTCCCCAGCACAGAAGATTCTGGGAGCAAAGGTTGGTGCTGTGCTGGAGCTCCTGAAGGAGATCAGTGCCGGTATTTGGAGAGCAAACAGGGCCCTGGGATGGAGGCAGCATTGTTACAAAGGAAGGAATTTTTATTGAATAAAACTATAGGAATAATGCCAGCTGCCTTCCCCAGCTCTGCAGCGGGGGCAGGGCACACAGCCGGGGGGGGACGTGGCACGGCGGCGGGGGGGGG